TACATGTATATGGTAATTTGTACTGATAAAGCAAAATACACACACCAATGAGTTTTAACATTCTGTACATGGTTAAATTTATGTACGTGGATGCATATTAAGGCTTTTTACCATCATATTTTGATATTCATTAAAAGAACAGAGATAAATGATTAAAATACTTGTTCATAGATTTGATTTGTTTTTATCAGCATTGATATTGCGCAGTCTAAAGTTTTTAACAGGAGCGAGGTGTATGTACAGAGTATCTTTTTGGCATGAAATGTTGTCCCCCGATAACCCAAAGACAATTAAAAACAGGACCATCCTACTAAGTCATCATTTGCTTGAATGATGATTTTATAGCGTAACTGTTCATTTTTAAAATTAACATTTTGACAACAATTGCTTGATTATTAATCTCCTGTATCTCAAATCTCTGAAACGATAGCTTAAGATATTGTGTTACAAAACGTATGTCATATTACATTTATATTGATAGTCGTAGCAGGTACTTTCGCATTAACAAAGAGCATTATAAGAAATGTATTCTTACCAATGGATGAACACACATTTAGCTTCACGTCAAGATTGCAACATAGCGCATTCATTTTCCTTCTTGAAGAGAAATAGAACCCTGAATAAAAGCCCCGCTTACTTAATAACACGCTAGCTATGCAAGTAATTCATCCATATAAAGAAGGTTCCCTCGGTCCAAATTGGACAATGAGAAAACTGCTGTTTATTATATCATGTATAAATAAAGAGTGAGTTCGAAATTATCATTTAAAGATTCTGTAGCCGTGGCTTTGACCTTAATTTTTTTTTTCTGTAGATTGAAATCAGAATATTAATATCTAGTTTCATTAATTTCAACAAAGCGCAAAAAAGTGCGTTTGACGGTTTTAATTTCATTTTATTTTAGCAATACCCAAAACTTAAATCTGTGCATCACCTTGGTGTGTTTGGTTTTCAGTTTTATGTAAGTGTGTGGCCATTGTTCTAGTAAGTACACAGTCAAAACACTATCAATTTTGGATGGGAGAGGGATATTGAATAATCTTTTAATGGTCATGAAAAGACCATGTTTTAATATATTTCAAATAACATGCTAGTTTTATACCAGTTTCTTGATGGTGTTGATCAACTTTACAAATTCTAGTTAAAGACAAATATATTAGGGTAGTAAAGACCGAACTTTATGTGTAAATAATGAGGAAGAATACTTAAAGTCTGATATATAAAAATGTGATATCATAATGGCGTAACTGTAAGGTGTTTGTTTCGTGATTCACATTGAGATACAGCCGTGTATGTACATGCCTACATCATAAGGGAATTGTATTTTGTACTGTTTGTATCGAGGATTGAATACTTATGAATATCATGTAATTAATTAAGTCCGCCAAACCATTAAGTCCCCCAAACATGGTTTGGGGAACTTATTGTTTTTATTCCTCTGTGTTCTTCTTCTTCTTCTTCTTCTTCTTCTTCTTTTTCTTCTTCTTGTTCTTCTTCAGCCATGAACTTGTCCAGAGGTTTTCTCAGAAACTGTTGATCGGATCATCATAAAACTTCACACAGATACTCATTAGGGGGTCAAGGTGTGCAACAAGCTATTTTTATTTCGACTAGAAGTCCAAGATGGCCACCAGAACCTTACTTCCGGTTTTGGAGTTTTTGGCTCTGATTTCGTTGAAAATTGGTACATAAGGGTTTTCAGGGCTGCCGAAAACAATGGAAACAATTTTGAACAGCTCAGTTGTCATGGCAACGAAATGAAGGACTCTGATTGGTCGAAAATAGAGGCCTCTGACTGGTCGAAATTTAGCTGTTGTCTGATTCTGCCCAAAACTGGTACATTAGGGTTTTCAGGGATTCCGAACACAATGGTAACAGTTTCGAAAAGTTCAGTTGCCATGGTAACGAAATGGAGGCCTCTGATTGGTCGAAATTTAGTTGTTTTCTGATTCTGCCCAAAACTGGTACATAGGGGTTTTCAGGGATTCCGAACACAATGGTAACAGTTTCGAAAAGTTCAGTTTCAATGGTAACAAAATGGAGTCCTCTGATTGGTCGAAATTTAGCTGTTGTCTGATTCTGCCTAGAATTAGTACATAAGGGTTTGGAGGGATGCGAAACACGATGGCAACAGTAAAGAAAGATTTAGTTGCCATCGTAACGAAATGTAGGCCTCTGATTGGTCGAAATTTAGTTGTTTTCTGATTCTGCCCAAAACTGGTACATAGGGGTTTTCAGGGATTCCGAACACAATGGTAACAGTTTCGAAAAGTTCAGTTTCAATGGCAACAAAATGGAGGCCTCTGATTGGTCGAAATTTAGCTGTTGTCTGATTCTGCTTAGAATTGGTACATAAGGGTATTGAGGGATGCAAAACACGATGGTAACAGTTACGAAAGATTTAGTTTGCCATCGTAACGAAATGGAGGCCTCTGATTGGTCGAAATTTAGTTGTCGTCTGATTCTGCCCAGAATTGGTATACAGGGGTTTTAAGGGATGTCAAACACAATGGTAACAGTTTTAAACAGCTCAGTTGCCATGGTAACAAAATGGAGTCCTCTGATTGGTCGAAATTTAGCTGTTGTTTGATTTTGCCAAAGTTCCTAAGTCCAACAGGGGTCGTTTGGGGGACTAATCTGTAACGGCCACCCGTTACAATTATTACTAGTTATGATATGACTTCATCACGAAAGAGGTTTTTACTCGACTCATTAAGGAAATCTCGATACCGTGAAATGAAAACATGTTCGAGTTGAAAATGTATCCTGGTTACTAAGCGTACAATAAATAATAATAAAAGTATCGTTAAAGTAGTTCGTCTATAATGGAGATACAAGATGAGTTTATGTCATATATGTACATGTATACTATCATATTTACGTAAATAATCGTGCTTTGATTATCATGAAATATAAATAGAAGTGGAGGATTGAACTTCCTGTCAACTTAATATGGAAGAACATTAAACACGATAAAAAGTATATAATTGTACGGACGTTTTCCCAAATATGAATGAAATTACAGAAGATCACTTTTGAATAAAATACACCTCTTACTTAAGGAGATGTCGGTGACTGTGAGAAAGGTATCTTTGTGTATGAATAAAACTATGTACATATATATATCTCCTCCAACAAAACAACACAAGGTACAAATATCTTTGTGAAAACCCCGTGCCATATTTCGTGTCTTCATTAAATCCTATGAAGCCTTTAATGATGCCCTCTATATTCTTTATCAAAAGAACTGCAAAAGTACCACACATCACCAATTATATTAGGACAATCATATCACGGTTTAACGAATGATATTACTAGACCAGATATTGTCTCTGGACTCGGGTATATATATACACATATAAAAGCTAAGTAACGCCATTGCTTGTAAGTGTATTACTACAAATATTACGCGATAACGACTGGAGTATTCAGATTTATTATTTAGTAGCATTCACATAGAGCAGTCTAAAGACTGTAACAGGAGCTAGGTACGTGTACCGTACAACCGCTCAGACATGGAGCTTTGTAACGTATGTATGCCATTGTTCGCTTTATCTGTGTAGGTTTATATTTTGCTTGACTATTAATCTTCTGCGCCTCATATTTGAAAACTATAGTTTGACTAGATGTTTGTCTCTCGAAACGCTTGTTAAAGAACATTTATGTTGAAAGTCGTAGCTGGTATTTAAATCACACAAATTTAGAGTAACATATAAAATTTACTCTCACTGCTCGGCGAGCACATATTTAATGTTTTGAGACCATATTGTTTTACTGATACTTTACCCAACATGTTCAAATCCCAATGCATATGATATTTTGTAAAACAATTTCAGTAGGCTAATCACTGTGTTATTTGACCAGCAGATCAAACTCCACAACTGATGTTATAGTATTAATTATCAGTAACAAATACGTAACTTTGTAAAAAACAACAATACCAATTGTCTAATAAATGTGATATCTGATCAGCAGATACAAAACCAAAAACAAGATAATACCGAAATGTCAACATAACCATAGTTCGAACTAAAAATCGATACAAATAGGGCAGAATATTAACAACTATTACATATTTCCATTTACATGTTCCGGAAAGGTAAGCGTTTTCTGTTTCATCAATGGCACCCGCCATATAAATCTAAGTAGGATCAAATGAATGGCACGACCTCACATCGCGAACTCAGGAGCGACAACAAACAAACAAGGCACTCTAATGAGCATAACAAAAATACGACCTTATATCACAGAAAGAAATATCATATTTTCCTGCAACGTCATGATGGCGACCATAAATCCTGTCCGTTTGATTCATAAACCTGCATCGTTGGAAACCCTGTGTGGTATGTTTGTCCGTCCGACAGCAGTCGACAACAATCACGGAAGTTATTATATTCGGAGCAATCTCTTGAGTACCGAATGGACAAGTGACATGTTAACAACGTAAGTAAGGGAAGCAGGAAAATCTTCACAACTAATTTTATAGTATCAAAAAAGCTGTATATATCTATGTATTTTTTTTATCTTTGGGTGACAGGAGGCGTGCCGCTGTCCATTACATTTCGACAGTGCTGGACAAAGGGGGAAATAGAAATGTCAGTCAGTGACTATTCTGCCATGGTATAATCGTTACATGCAAATTATTGATAAATTCAACAGTACGATCCGGTAGATCAATAACGAATTTATTTATACACACACGCCTGCTAACATCACAAGGTAGGGCCATGCACTATTGCATACTGTATAAGAATCATCAGGGTGTTGCTCGAAATTCGGATAAAATAAATGGACAATAACGCTAGAACATCTTTTGAAAAATCACCTAGAATTCTGTTCGTGTATCAACGCAAATGGAAACCCGACTATCGCAGTGGAATAGCCTCGTATGTTGTCATATCCTCTCTTCTTAATAACCAAGCAGTGATATATCAAGTTAGGTGAATTGTATAGCATGACATTTAATTACCTTGCACATACAATACGATGTAAGTACTTACCTAAAGACCACGTGGTGACTTCTTGTTTTACAATGATGGACTAGCCATTCATCCACAGTGTCTATTTTACCAATAGACTACGTGGTGCCCTTTTATAAAGTTTTACACTGATAGACTTGCCATATATCTTCAGAATGAGTGTCTATTTAAACCAATAGACTACGTGGTGACTTCATATAAAGTTTTACACTGATAGACTAGCAGTATATATCATCAGAATGAGTGACTTTAGAACACCTCAATTGTTATTTATGAACTAGAAATCCCTCCTTCCAAGGAGAACTCTCAATATTGAGATGATACCACGGACCTCTCTGATACTCCCCACAATCTTATGAACAAAGTGACGCTATTTCAGAAATCTAAGCATATTTGTTATCATGATATGACGTGATGGAAATTTACCGTGAAGGTCTTTTATAAAACAGCCAATGACACAAGTGTAAAACATCACATGACATAACTGGGGTCCTTTTAAGTCCGGTTTTTACATCGATGCTATCAATAACACAATACCACGAAGCATATAGATATTCCCCACTCAAGTATTTGTAAAATCGGTCACATGACAAAAATCACTCGATAAAGTTGTTCGAATTTTTATCAAAGACTCATTACAGGTCGGTAGGTCTTGTTTTTTAATGCGAATTTTGACAATACAGTTCATGATATTTCGATCAAGGAGTCCACTCACCTGTCTATTGTTCTAACGTCACCAGCTTAAAGAGGTTAACTCCGATCAAGTTAAAATGTGGGTGTGGGTGTGGGTATGTGTGTGTGTGTGTGTGTTGTTGGGTTACTCTCTATTAAGTTACATATATATGCCAATTTTAAATCTAAATTAGAACGTATGTATCTTCAGAAGATAAATAGAGAGTTATCAATATCCTCTATCAGGAACTAAAGATGCTCTCGGATCAGAATTACTTTGTTGGCATTAGTATTGATTATCGATCTTTGTTTAACTTACACAAATGTCTATTTGTATATGTTAATGTTGATGCAATTGTTAATGACATTCATAGAAATACGTATAGGACGTTAATTTAAGGTAATAAACGACGTACTACATTGGCAAACACCAGTCAGCCTGTTTATTTCAATTTTAAGTTGATAGCCATTTGTATAATGCATGTTGTCATTTGCCTCTCTAGAAAAAACAGCAAAGATCACTTGGACAAGCACAAAAGCAAACTACACAGTATCGTTATATTAACTGTTATATTAGAAAACTTTCAAATTCGATTGTTGTGGACAATAGCTTTAGATCTAATATCTTATATATGCATGACAAGTTGGGAGTAAGTACTAGTGTCTTCCATATTAGTATTGTCAGTGAGATGCCACGAATTTGTATAAGAAAAACGAACAATAACGTTGGATCAACTTTTGTACACAGGTGACTACCTTTAACGTTTGGTAATAGATACAGTATGAATTATTCTGAAGCCGTTTCGTCCTTAGAGGACTAACCGGTGATGCTACAGGTCGGCATGTTGGAAATCCAAATTGGTATGAACGGTACTACGTAACTTACGCATTAAATTATGTTCAAATGACTATTTCCTGCCTGAAATTAGATAGCAGTAATAACATTAATGTTACATTTTGATTGCCAATTAAGAAATCGAGTGGTCAAACTGGACATTTGGCCAGAACTTTGAATATGAAAAAGCAAGAAAACATAACTGATTGTTCGGATAACACGTACATTGAATACTACAATGTAGTAAATGAAATATTGTTTTTCACGATATGTCTCTGAAAAGGTCAATTTCCTGCAAGAGGTGTAGTCATTAGATTACAGTTGTTATATTAAGTTTTATTCAATAGTTAAGAATCGATTTATTTCATTTTGTTTTGTATGAATCATTGTTCTGATGTTCAAATTTATTTTACATTTAAGCTTTGCAAAATCGACTTTTTATTGGTAGTTAGGTGTACATGTACAGTGTACACATAAGAAGATATTGCTGAAAACATAGAATATATACGTCCCAAAATTTAATAAGAAAACTTAACAACAATATAGGATCATCTCTTGAAAATTCACTTCAAAAAGCATACAATTTCTAATTACATCACTCTAATGAATCCGACAACTTGATGGACACAGAACAATTAACGCTCAAATAAAGAATTACGAAATTTAACAGGACAACTTGTTCAATTTACACCATAATTTATTCGAGGCGGAGTGGTACTTGTAATTATAGGGGATTGTAGGCACAGGTAAAACTATGTATATGCAGATATATTTCTACTGCTAAGTAGGTGTGCAGTTAATACACCACTTGGCACGTTTATACGGGTGGGACAATGTTAAATGTGTATGTGTATTGACATCTATACCGGTAGACGGTAGATAGGCGTAAAATGAAAACAACAGCAAGTGCATACGGTTAGCAAAGGGTTTAAGCATGTATGTGCAGGATCATGTGTACTGGTAGTAGACGGTGAATTTCAGAAGATGGCGGAAAAATAGAATTTTGTAAGGTTACTTAATTGTGGCGAATCTGTTTCAGAGCTGTTTATTTATATACCTAACTGTTTCAATACACAACGATTTATTGGATGTTTAGAAGATTTGAGAGATTAAAGAAAATAATTACTTATATATTTACAGAATATATGACACAATATACTTGAAAGGAAGGTTGCATGAAGGATCGATAAGGAAAATTAGATCTCCTAATTTTACTTAACACAGCATATTGTATCTGAAAGAACTGCACTTTTATTTCAAGTATTTAGCCATTTAATTATCGTAGCCCTATTTATCATCTTACAGGGTTTTTAAATTGTCTTTCCGTCATGTGGGGTGCACTTATCAACACCGAACATGAATTTAATTCTTTCACAGAGAGTTGCATCCTCCCTTTCATCCCACCAAGAGGGTGAATGATCATTTTCCTCTTATCCTGTCGACCTTGTCATATATGCAAAAGGCCTGTACAGCTCTACTGGATCTTTATACCCAGCAATGGTACAAATGGTTATGGGGTGGCTATTAAGGTTTGGTAATAGATACAGTATGAATTATTCTGAAGCCGTTTCGTCCTTCTAGGACTAGAGGTGATGCTACAGGTCGACATGTTGGAAATCCAAATTGGTATAAACTACTGTTGAAAATGACGGAGAGGTGTTCTAAAGTCTGTTCGTGTACAAGCGTCCCTCAAAACCCTCAATAAATTGAGGAACATTAGTCATCATAAATTGCACTTTCATCCAAACATTAAGGATTGAATCGTAAGCAAAATGAAAACACATCAATACGGTAAAGAACGGTACTACGTAACTTACGCATTACATTCTGTTCAAATGACTATTTCCTGCCTGAAATTAGATAGCAGTAATAATATAATTAATTAACAATACTAAGACTACAGGTGAAAATGACGGAGAGGTGTGCTAAAGATAGTAAAAATTCAATTCATCAGAACTTGGTCATTTTTTCAAACATCTAGCTGAAATTTGGAACATATACCTATAAAAGTATTATGAATAACATGTCCTCTTATGTCACTTACTTAAGTAAGTATTTTTAAAGATATTATGTGGCGATGCTTTCTAAACTGTACAGGTTAGTACACACAGGTGCCACCCCGCTGATCCTAAAATTCAATAACTCGGTCAATTTTTCAAATATAAAATTGAAATTTGGTAAAGAGGTGTACATTATATGAGATATCTAAAACTGAAATATATTGTATGAAGGTTCTTATTATGGGAATTGAAGGCGTTTCCCCTGTCAACTACAAGTAAATGTAGAGATTCAACTGGGGAGAACCGTGATAACTTGTTATGAATAACCTTATGTACAGATTTGAATTGCATATACCAGTGTATGTGTGCAATCTTATTTTGACAATTGTATTGCAGAATCATAATTAATATTAATGGAAAATTAAGGATATTTTTATTTTGCTAGTATATATCTTGGAATAAAAAAAAACTCATAATATTTTTTTACACATTGCAAATTGTAGTTCTGAGCCTGGCATAAACTTGGTTCAAAATACTGGTATGTTAATGTAATAGTCGTCTTTTATCGTGGATATACGACAACTCCTGGGTTCTTTTCTCAGTTAATTTATTACGTAAGTAAAAACCCTGTAACATGAAATACATCATATTACTACACATATAACATTTATACAATCACATAAGCTAAGACATGTCAAACAACTACCTGGCCGTAGCCAGTTACATAAGTTACAATAATGGAATACGTATTACAACTGTTACATTCAATCTATATATTATATAGAAATACAGCATAATTACAAATATATTAAAATACCCACCTCTTCAATGTGAAGAGGGTTTTCTCGGACAAAGTCCGCCGAGTCCTCAGTCTTACTCGTTCAATGTAAGCTATAAAAGGAAACAATATATATTAAAAACTTGCTTCTTCGAAATCACTTGTCTACTAAATTGACCACGCCCGATTTCTAAATTTACAAAGACTTTCAAAATATTAACTTTACTTTTAACAAAAATATTACGTTAATTAAATATATTATTGAATAGATACTATAATGAATTAAACTTATATTTATACGCGAGTACTTACATTATTTGCTTTTGGCTCTAGTGCCCGCTACCTCTTTTAATTCCTATGCTGGCTAGGTAAAGATATAGGTGTACAAATGTTCGCTGTGCTCGCTCTGGCCGCTATGTTCAAAGTGACCAGTGCACCAGTTAAATTACTCTACATTCCACACTAGGTATTCTATACATAGACAATACGTACTGGACAAACAGGTTTACAACACATTACATCACATCCGCTCAGTACCTTACTCGCATTTACGCGTGCTATTTCCGCGCGCGCGCTGAAAGTTTTGCCGCAATGCGTGACGTACAAAATTACACGGAAGGCTGATTTCCGTTACATACGAACGCGTATAGCTAAATACCACAAATATATTAAAAGTAATAATGACAAATAATGACACTACTACATTAATTTCCGATGTGATAAGAAAAGCAGAGGGAGAATGTAAATATAAATGCAAAGGTAAAAACATTTTAAAAATGGAAATAAATTTTCAGATGTGCAAGATATATTTCTATAGTGTAGTGGTCATCACATATGCCACTCTGGTGGGAGACCCTGGTTCAAAACCTGGTGGAAATAATAGTACAACTTGAAATTATGTAAATACTGCAAACATATAAACAACTAGTTATATACAACTCATTACCCATTACTTGGTACCTTTTATATAAATATATGTATACTTGTTAATTTGTTCTTTACTGCATGCATACAGCAACAAGACATTCGAACATCTTGGTAGGCAGTGAGTATTATATTTATGATTTGTGAACTTAAGCTAGAAAATGAATGTTTTTTAGTTATCAAAGTCTAGGTGTTGACCTCTTGTGAATGCTTTTTGTTCATCATAGTAACCTTTAAACCACTTCATTTATTTTTTGAAGGAAAGTTCCATGGTCAAATGAAAGCCAAATTCATGAGTTACATAATACATGTGGATCTTATCTGCCAGGGGTTTGAGCCCAAAAGAGGTCAAATAGACTTTTTATTCAGGCACAAAGATCTATGCTAAAATCAAATACTCTTCATAGATGGAAAGGTCATGTAGGCCTATTTCAAAAGTATGAATACTTTGCTACCTTTGGATCATTCATTCCTCCTTGAGAAAGCGTTAATGTTTAGGCTAAAACAAGAAAAACTGTTTTTCAGGCAACATTCCAAAGCAAAATAGGGTTGGTCAGTAAGCAGTATTTGATTTTTAGGTCACCTGAGACAAAGTCTCAAGTGACCTATTGCGATCGCCTTTTGTCTGGCGTCGTGCGTTTTCGACTTCTTCTCCAAAACCCCTGAACCAATTTCAATGAAATTTTGCAGAAACCTTTCATGGCCAAAGGTCAACCAAAATTGTGAATAATATGGTCCCCAGCCCCCAGGGGCCTGAGGAGCGGGGCCAAAAATGGTCAAATTGACTAAATATTTGTTTAATTTCCATTGGAAGTAATTTAATTTAGGTTAGCATTATTAGTATTGGAAAGCAGTTTGCTGGTATGCACATATCAGCCCTGACTGACGACCAGGGGGCTAGCCGATCGGTGGGGCCAAAAAGGGTCGAATTGACTGAAATTTCAAAATCTTCTTCTCAAGACCCAGATATGGTAGAATCAAATACTCTTCATGGATGGAAGCGTTTTAAGGTGCTCTAACAAAATTGTGAATTTCATGACCCTAGGGTCTCACGTTTACCCCTGGGGAAGGAGGAGGGGGAGGGGGCAAAATGTATTATGGTTTATATTGGCAAATGATACTTTGGATATTGCATGCTGATAACTTGATTGGAATTATAACCCTGAGTTGACAGTTTGAAACTTTTAAAATTTTGAGTCAGCCCTACCCCTAAGGGCTGTTGGGCGGGGCCAAAAGGAGTCAGTGTGCTAACATTTTTTCATTTTCCTTGTTAAAAATCAGAGGTGCTAGTTTCAAATACTTTTTAGTCTTAAACCTGTATGCTAGATATTGAATAAGGTGGTTTTATTGTTTTTTGTCACTTTTAATAATATTTCTGTTCATGTTTTAAAAACAAAAATCAACTTTTTGTATAAAGAATCAAACACTTTTCATGGATGGAAAGTTCCTAAGTCGCTATATCTGAAATTGTTATTTCATTACCCCCATGTCGATCATTCCTCCACTATATCATTTTTTTGAAAATTGTCAGCAATATATATACCGTATGTCAGACAATTATGTACCCGCCAAAAATGAAATATCAATAAAATATGTTGGTGATCCCAACATAAATTTCTCTCAAGGAATTAAAAAAACCTTTTTGGGATTAAATGAACTTTTGTTCTGTTTTTGTTTGATTTTTACATCACTACAACAAATAACATAATTGCATTACAACTCAGGTCCATGTATCTCTTGTATAACTTAGTGAGATCACTGTTGTATATTTATCATTTCTGTGTTGTAATTGGAAAGGTCCTGTTCATATCTATTGCAGCATGTGGCTTCTGAAGATACTGGTACAGTGGTTTCATGCTGTAGGTTCAAACGATGTTCACGATATAATGCTTTCTTACATTACAATGTAAATGATTAAATTGTTTTATCATTTGGTTATTCAAAAGGAATGGATATTGCAGCCATTGCTTCTCCAATATTGGAATATTGAGAAATTGAATGCTAGTTTAGAGTTACAAAATTGGAACCATAATTAAATATAATTACTTAATATTGATTTAGAATCATCATTCATAACTACTTAATACTGATTAAGAATCATCTTTGAGCTAATTTTATTGTGTTTGCAGGTCATCTTTAGACCAGGTAAAGCTTGTAAATGAGAAATGTTGTACCATCATCAGTTCTTTATTGTTTGTCTGTGTGTTCTTAGACATTACCATGCTCTTTGCAGGTTATTAAAGCTTAATACACTCGTACAAACTGTAATTGATCCTAGGGTCCTGTCATTCCAGCATGGTGACCTTATAACATTGAAATGGTTGAAATCAGTGTCCTATAATGAAAAACACCTACTGGCAATCCATAGACAACTACCAAAGTTTTCCGCAGGTCTGTTACCACCCGGGAATACAATCATGCTAGCCGGCCTTCAAGGGGTAATAAATGGCCGAGATATACAACATATTAATTAGTGAACTATAGTTTGAAGGTTGTTTCGAAAAAACATGTACAAGCCCAACTTACGTTTCAAAGTAAACATTGACATTTTTGACTAGCCTGGGGCATTGGGCTTGGCAATTTAGGCAAACATGTAGATTTTCATGAACTGACCTCACTGACCTCACTGTGTCCTATATGATTTGACATTTGACCTTAACATTTGAAATAGTTGGACTCGGGCATATCTTCTTTACTTTTTCACCTGGAGTAACCAGATTTAGTGTACAAGGACATCTTTGGATGGCAGAGTGAAGAGTGCAAGATTTATGTCACTTTGATGTATGACTTGACCTTTGATCTTTCCTTTTGAAAATATTTGTACGGGCATATGCTATTTCACCTGAAGTAACCAGATTTGGTGAACAAGGAAAGCATGGGATGGCGGAGTGAAGTAGGTCACTATGACCTCACTGTGACCTATAAGCTTCCTCGTATAAGTGTACAGTTGTGTATAGAAATTCTTACCGGTGGCCATGGGGTCTATATGGATTTCCTCGCAATACTTTGCCTTGTTAATAAATATTTTCTATGCACAGTAGATCAAATTTCTATAAATTTGTCTTGAGAAATTTCTGATAGGTTTTCTTAATTAAAATACATTTTTATTTAAACTACCATTCATTTCTTTTTCATGGAAGAATATTCAGCGCACATATGTCCTAGGAGGGATTCTGTTCGTTTTGTTACCCTAAAGTTCTTAGCTTGGGCGCTACAGGCGCTCGAGATCTGCACTATCATCTCAAAGGTTACTGAACTTGGTGCGCTTGCTTATAGCAGAGACGTATATTGTATACGTCTCTGCTTATAGGCAGTGCCTATTTCATATTATTGATAGTTTAGAGTCAATTATAGTTATTAAAATAAAACATTTTCTAACATACATTGAATATAAAAAAAATATATAAGAATCATATTTGCGACTAAAGCAGTTTTTTTTAAGGAACGAACTTTCTGGTTAGGAAACGAAATACATGTGTAAATTACAACCATACAGTGTAAAACGTCATCGATTATTGTTCACACATACACATGTACAGTTCTGTATCTCTCTGCCAACACGGCTTACAAATACGAGATGAACTATCCAATCGGTGAAATTTTCGTTGAAATTTAAACTGCAACCAAAATAGACTTATTGTGATACTGCAAATAAATGTTTGCAAATCTTATGTGTAAAATACAAAGTGTATCGCATGTCAATGCGTAAATATTCGCCATAGCAAGCAAAAATGAAGAAGTACGTCGCGATATGGGGAGGGGTGCTTTTTATCGTCGATAGTGTGTCACTGTACCTGATGATGGAGGCAGTGTCCACTAATGCTAGTTCAAGATCTCCGGATATGTTACAATCTGTAAGTAGTCACCAAAGCACACATTGGTAGGGGGAGAGTGTGCGGGTATGTAGTATCGTTGGAGGACCTGTTTCTGTGCCCTGAGAGTTTTATGCATCACTGCGCGCGTACTGTAAGCTTGTTCACATCGCCCATTCACATCACCTGTTTTTGGACAGTGAAAGAAAATAACGAGTTAACATCTGCTAGGATTTTAAAGTAAATGAGCTAAAACGAGTAAATTTACACTTAACAAAAACATATAGAAAAGTTTTTTTATATTGTAGTAGTATTTTTTAAGTATAGTAAATAGACGTATGGGAAAGATGAACATTTTTGATACAATTTCATATGCCACAACTCATCAACGTCTGCTAACAAAATCATGTGGTCTAACTCCTCAGGCTGTTCAATCCTCGATACTCCAAGGGCTATGTATCGTAGCGAAATCGAAGGCTCAGTCTGAGTGTAAACAAAAAATGAAACACAAGAGATATTTTGATGTCCGGATGCCATAGTGACATTACTGTTCTCACTTATATTATATCACAATAAAAACTAGTGATGTTTCGGTTTCATTTTTTGAACAGTCCTAGATATTAACAAAACCGAAAACGAAAGTAACCGTCCGTTGGAATTTCCATTTTTCATTTTGAAATGACTCATCAAAATATGTTTTAAGACAACAGTTATGACATTTTCTCATGCATGGCAAGCACGCCTTGCTAAAGTTAAACAACAATTAAGGTTTAAAACAAGTTTTGGCACTGCTCTTTGTTGAAAACATTAATGATGTTTTTTTCTGCCACTAGGTGGCGCTAATATCTACTTTAGTTACACTTCTTAGCAACCATGCACACTAAGGTGTAAACAAACCCACAACACCAGTGATTTTTAGGTCAAAGATATTTTAGGTTTAGTGTCAGATGCACTGCTAACCAATAATATCACACAGACAAGGAAATAATGTTCCCCTAACCTTGCAAAATAAATATGGAGATTTTTTTTAAACCTTTATCAGCTATTTAAAAGTAAAAAGCGTGTTAAGGTCATTCCAATATGGCTGCCACACCAAACTGTATATCAAATTCAATAATGCATTCCGTTAGCATTAACCCCTGCAGTGCCACAGTACCTATTCAGAGAGCCTATTTGTAAGCTATTTAAAAATAGCCTCGGTTGGGATGTTACAGTATCTTTGCCCGAGACTGAGATAACCCGATCTTGCTCAGTTACAGGTAATTGATTTTTTCTCGCACCTCAAATGATAATGACCTCTTCACTACTTTAGCTACATGTACATTTGAATGCTTCCGCGTAAAATGTAGTCCGCCCTTACATAGATAACAATATATTTCACAGTGTAAATTATATTTTATCTCGACATCAAATATCTAACAACATCAAAAGTATACATATAGCGACAAACAGAACATTTATAATGCGAATTGTCAATTTCAAGCAGTTAACACGCGGATAAAAACATCGCAGTGTAAAAATTCCGCGAAATGTTACGTAAAGGTACAAGACAGATCGGACGAGATAGACAAATCTAGCATGGGGTATAATGTTGGATATCTGTGTCTGAGGTGCGAGAATAATGGCGACTCGATTGTTTGCTCCGTGATTTCGACCTTATCCACCTGAGAACCATGACCAGATGGACGGGGCCAAAAAGGGGAAATAAAGGTAAAACCTTTGAAATCCTT